AAAGTAGAGAGTAACTTAGAAATTAAAACCTGTTAAATTCAGGAACATGCTGGATAATTTTAAAAGTTGGACAGTTATAAAGATGTGAAACCATGTTTCATTTGTGAAAAATAAAAGTTCCTAATAAGAGCATTAAAAATTTGAAGATGAAATTTTTATCACTCGTGTTTTGACAGATCTTAAATTCATTATTGTCATTGTGCTTTCTTTTGGAAACAGTTCTAGTGATGAACCTAGTTTTAAAACACATAAGACATGCTCAACCCTTTCATCACATTCTGGTCATCACGGTTCTCTACCAAGTTGGACGCTTGAGAAGAAATGCTATTTAACCAGTTGTCTATGTTTTAAAAAAAAGCAAATGAAAAAAAAATACCCATTAAAAAGTACTCCCACATGCATTAGTATGCATTAGCATATCTGATCATCTAAAGACAATTTATTTGGGACAGATATTATCCCAATTTATAGTTGAGGATACTAATATCAAAGAGGTTTGGACTTGCCCAAGGTCACACAGTTTCAATTCTGAAAAGCTTCCAATACCATGTTTAGCTTTTATACCACCATACAACTGCTACAATGGAGCAAATGCACTTTGTTTACACTGGTATCACTAAGCCATGGAGCAGTTTCTCACATCGAGTAGTTTAATGAATCTTTTGTAATTCAATGACCAGAGAAATGATTGAATGTCTGAGTCACTGTTGGGTTCGGTAAGAGAGGTGATTTAGCTACCCTTTGGCAGGAAATGAATCCTTCCAGTTCATTACAGTGGCAGCTACAGCTCTAGAGATCTCATAAATTTTGAAGATTCCTGAAACATAAACACCTGAAGTCCCAGTTGTAAGCTTCATTTAGAAATTCCCACCTCTTCTATGTGAGTCAAGTTAAGTTGGACATAACTATGAGATGTTTCACATAAGCCTCATGGTAACCCCAAGGCAAACATCTATAGTAGATACACAGTAGAGAAAAAGAAAATAGCATACTACTACAGAAAATTACATAATTACAAAAAAGTAGCATACTACTACAGAAAATTACATAATTACAAAGAAAGACTGCAAGAAGAAAGGAATAATCCACAAAATATCCAGAAAACAATAAATAAAATATCTATAGTAAATCTTTACCTATCAATAATTACTGTAAATGTAAATGATCTAAAATTAATAAAATGTACAGAGCAGCAAAATCAATTTAAAACAGGACCCAACTACATGCTGCCTAAAAGAAACTCATTTCACTTGTAAAGAAACATGTAGACTGAAAATGAAATGATGAAAATAGATATCCCATACAAATGGAAATCAAAATAGAGAAGTAGCTATTTATCAGATAAAATAGACTTTATATTCAAAACTGTAAAAAAAGAAAACATAACAATTATAAATACATATGCACCACCCAACATCAGAGCACCTAAATATATAAAGCAAATATTAACAGATCTGCAGGGAGAGATAGACAGCAATACAATACTTGTAGGAGATTTCAATATCACACTTTCAGAATAGGAAGATGATCCAGGAGAAAATTAATGAGAAAATGTTGGACTTCACCTATACTTTTTTGTTCACCTATACTTTCAATCAAATGGACCTAAGAGATATATGTCGAACATTCACAGGATGCATATTCTCCTCAGACCCACATGAAACATTCTCCAGGACAGATCATATGTTAGATCACAAAACAAGTTTAACAAATTTAAGACTAAAAATATATCAAAATCTTTTCTGACTACAATGGTATAAAATGTTGTCAGTGGTATAAAATGTAGTCAATGGTATAAAAAAGTAGAAAATAATAACAGGAAAAAAAAGACCTGGAATATTCTCAAATATAAGAAATCAAAAATCTTGCATCTGAACAGCCAATATGGCCAAAAAAAAAAAGAAAAAAAAGAAAAGAAAAGGAAAAGAGATCATACAGAAAAATTTAAAATATATAGAGAAAAAATGGAAACAAAACATGCCAAAACTCATGGGACACAGCAGAAGCAGTTGTAAAAGCAAAGTTTATAGCAATAAACATGTACATCTAAAAGAAGAACAAAGATCACAAATAAACACCTCAACATTACACCTAAAGGACCTAGAAAAAGAACAAACTAAGAACAAACTAAGCTCAAAATTAGCAGAAGGAAGGAAACAATAAGGATCAGAGCAGAAATATATCAAATGAGAATAGAAAAACTGTAGGAAAAATATCAATAAAACAAAGAGGTGGGTTGTTTTTTTTTTGCAAAAATAAACAAAGATGAAAAATCCTTAGCTAGACCAACTAAGGCAGACAGAAGATTCAAATAAATGAAATCACAGGCCAGGTGCTGTGGCTCATGCCTGTAATCCCAGCACTTTGGGAGGCCAAGGCAGGCAGCAACGAGGTCAGGAGATCAAGACCATCCTGGCTAACATGGCGAAACCCCACCTCTACTAAAAATTAAAAAAAAATTAGCCAAGTGTAGTGGTGCATCCCTGTAGTCCCAGCTAATCAGGATGGTGAGGCAGGAGAATTGCTTGAACCTGGGAGGCGGAGGTTGCAGTGAGCCGAGATGGCACCACTGCACTCCAACTTGGACAACAAAAAATAAAAATAAATAAAAAATTTAAAAAAAATCACAAATTAGAGAGGAGACCTTACAACAAATGCCTCAGAAATGAAAAGGATCATAAGGGACTATTATAAACAGTCATATGCCAACATTAAATAACCTAGAGAAAACGCATAAATTTCTAGCAACACACAACCTAGTAAGATCGAATCAAGAAGAAACAAAAAGGTTCAACAAACCATTAACAAAGTTGAAGTAGCAACCATTTACTGATTAGGAGATCCCTTCCCCATTGCTTGTTTTGTCAGGGTTGTCAAAGATCAGATGGTTGTAGATGTGTGGTGTTATTTCTGAGGCCTCTCTTCTCCATTAGTCTGTGGGTCTATTTTGGCAACAGTTCCATGCTGTTTTGGTTACTGCAGCCTTGCAGTACAATTTGACGTCAGGTAGCATGATGCCTCCAGCTTTATTCTGTTTGCTTAGGATTATCTTGGCTATACAGGATCTTCTTGGATTCCATATGAAATTTAAAATAGTTTTTTTTCTAATTCTGTGAAAAATGTCTATGGTAGTTTGATGGGAATAGCATTGAATCTAAAAATTACTTGGGGCGGTATGGCATTTTCATATTGATTTCCCCTATCCATGAGGATGCAATGTTTATCTATTTGTTAGTGTCTTATCTTATTTCCTTGAGCAGCCGTTTTGTAGTTCTCCTTGAAGACGTTCTTCATATCCCTAGTGAGCTGTATTCCTAGGTATTCTCTTTGTAGCAATTGTGAGTGGGCGTTCATTCAAGATTTGGCTCTCTGCTTGCCTATCATTGGTATAAAGGAAGGCTTGTGATTTCTGTACACTGATTTTGTATCCTGAGACTTTGCTGAAGTTGTTTATCAGATCAAGAAGTTTTGGGGCTGAGACAATGGGGTTTTCTAAATATAAAATCATGTCATCTGCAAACAGAGACAACTTGACTTCCTCTCTTCTTATTTAAATACCCTTATTTCTTTCTCTTCCCTGATTGCCCTGGCCAGAACTTCCAATACTATGTTGAATAGGAGTGGTGAGAGAGGGCATCCTTGTCTTGTACCAGTTTTCAAAGGAAATGCTTCCAGCTTTTGCCCATTCAATATGATGTTAGCTGTGGGTTTGTTATAAATAGCTCTTATTATTTTGAGATATGTTCCATGCAAAGACACACACAGGCTCAAAACCAAGGGATGGGGGAAAATTTACGAAGCAACTAGAAAGCCAAAAAAAAAAAAAAAAAAAGTAGGGGTTGCAATCCTACTCTCTGACAAAACAGACTTTAAACACAGATTAAAAAGACAAAGAAGGGCATTACATAATGCTAAAGGAAACAATTCAACAAGAATAGCTAAGTATTCTGAATATATGTGCACCCAAAACAGAAGCACCCAGATTCATAAAACAAGTTCTTGAGCCTAAGACCTACACAGACACTTAGGCTCCCACACAATAACAATGGGAGACTTCAACACCCCACTGTCAAGATTATACAGATCAACGAGTCAGAAAGTTAACAAGGATATTCAGGACTAAACTCAGCTCTGGATCAAATTATTTAATAACCAAACTCCCAAAGGTCAAGGATAAAGAAACGATTCTAAAAACAGCAAGAGATAAGAAACAAACAACACACAAAGAAGCTCCAATACATCAAGCAGCAGACTTCTCAGTGGAAACCTTACAGACCAGGAGACAGTGGCATGATGTTTTCAAAGTGCTGAAGGAAAAAAAAATCATTTACCTTAGAATAGTATATCCAGCAAAAATAGCCTTTAAACATGAAAGAGAATAACAGAGCTCTCCAGAAAAACAAAAGCTGAGGCATTCCATCAACACTAGACCTGTCCTACAAGAAATGCTAAAGGAAATTCTTTAACAGAAAGGATGTTAATGAGTAAGAAGAAATCATCTGAAGGTACAAAACTCAATGGTAATAGTAAACACATAGAAAAATACAGAATAGTATAACACCATAATTGTGTATAAACTACTCTCAAGTACAAAGATTAAATGATGAACCAATTAAAAATAATAACTATGACAACTTTTTAAGACATAGATAGTACAATAAGATAAACAGGAACAACAAGTTAAAAACTAGGGAGATAAAAGTAAAGTGTAAAGTTTTTATTCATTTTCTTTTTGCATGTTTGTTTCTGTAATCAGTGTTAACTTGTCATCAGCTTAGAGCAATGGGTTATAAGATAGTATTTGCAAGCCTCACAGTAACTTCAAGTCAAAAAACATACAATGACCACACAAAATATAAAAATCAGGAAATTAAATTATACCATAAGAAAAAATCACTTTCAATAAAAAGAAGACAGGAAGGGATGCTACAAGACAACCAGAAAATAAATAATGAAATGGCAGGATTAAGTCCCTTATCAGTAATAACACTGAATGTAAGAGACTGATGGAATGGATGATAAAACACAACCCCATGATCTGTTGCTTACAAGAAACACACTTCACCTATAAAGATATACATAGACTGAAAATAAAGGGTAGAAAAAGATATTCTACACCAATGGAAACAACAACAAAAAAAGGCAGGTGAACTTATATTTAAACAAAACAGATTTCAAAACAAAAACTGTAATAAGAGACAAAGAAGGTCATTATATAATGCTAAAGGGGTACACCCAACAACAGGATATAATCACTGTAAATATATATGGACACAACACTGGAGAACCCAGATATATAAAGCAAATATTATTTGCGCTAAAGAGAGAGCTGGAACACAATACAACAATAGCTGGAGACTCAGCACCCACTTTTAGCACTGAACAGCTCTCCCAGAAAGAAACGCAACAACCATCAGACCTAATCTGCACTACAGAACAAATGGACTGAACAGACGTTACAGAACATTTCATCCAAAGACTACAGAACACACATTATTCTTCTCAGCATATATATCCTTCTCAAGAACAGGCCATATGTTAGGTCACAAAACAAGTTGTAAAATATTTTAAGAACTGAAACAATATCAAGCATCTTCTCTGATCACATGGAATAAAAGTAGAATAAAAACAACTTTGGAAACTATACAAAGACATAGAAAATAGGCAATATGCTCCTAAATGACCAGTGGGTCAGTGAAGAAATTAAGAAGGAAATTAAGAAATTTCTTGAAACAAATGATAATGGAAACACAACATACCAAGATCTATGAGATAGATTGAAAGCAGTACTAAGAGGGAAATATGTAGTTGTAAGTGCCTATAACAAAAAAGAATAAAAATTTCAAATAAATGACTTACCAATGCATCTTTTCTTTCTTTCCTCCCCCCCTCCACCCGCCCAGAGATTCACTCTGTTGCCCAGGCTGTCGTGTAATGTCACAATAATGGCTCACTACAGTCTGGACCTTCCTGGGCTCAACAGTCCTCCCTCCTTAGCCCCCCTAGTAGCTGGGACTATAGGCATGCACCAACACATCTGATTAATTTGTATTTTTTGTAGAGATGGACTTTTACCATGTTGCCCAGACTGGTCTCAAACTTCTCAGCTCAAGTAATCCACTTGCCTTGGCCTCCCAAAGTGCTGGGATTACAGGCATCAGCCATTACATCCAGCCAGCAATGTATCTTAAAGAACCAGAAAAGCAAGAGGAAACCAAATCCAAAATTAGCAGGAGAAAAGATGAAGATCAGAGCAAAAATAAATGAATTTGAAATGAAGAAAAGATCAATGAAACAAAGTTTTTTTAAAAGATAAGAAAAATTAGCAGAGTAACACAGAAGGGAGATGACCCAAATAAATACAATTAGAGATTAAAAATGAGGCAATACAACTGACACTGCAGAAATTCAAAGGCTCGTTAGTGGCTATTGTGAGCAACTATATGCCAATAAATTGGAAAATCTAGAGGAAACCGATAAATTGCTAGACACCCACATGCAACCTACCAAGATTGAACCATGAGGAAATCCAAAACCTAAACAGAACAATAACTAGTGAGAAGATTGAAGCCACAATAAAAAAATTTTCCCAGTAAAGAAAAGCCCAGGACCTGATGACTGCACTGCTGAATTCTATCAAACATTTAGAGAACTAATACTAATCCTACTCAAACTATTTCAAAAATTAGAGGAGGAAGGAGTACTTCCAAACTTATTTTATGAGGCTAGTATTACCCTGATACAAAACCAGACAAAAGCACATCAAAAAAAGAAAACTACCAGCCAATATCTCTAATGAATGTTGATGCAAAAATCCTCAAAAAATACTAGCAAACCAAATTCAATAATACATTAAAAATATCATTTGCCCTGACCACATGGGATTTACCCCAGAGATGCAAGGCTGGTTCAACATACACAAATCAATGTGATACATCATATCAACAGAATGAAGGACAAAAACTATACAATCATTTCAACTGATCCTGGAAAACCATTAGATAAAATTCAACATCCCTTCATGGTAAACACACTTAAAAAACTAGGTATGAAAGGAACAGACCTCAATATAATAATAGCCATATATGACAGACACACAGCCAGTATCATACCAAATGGGAAAAACTGAATGCCTTTCCTTTAAGAACTGGCCCACTTTCACCACTGTTATTCAACATAGTACTGAAAGTCCTAACCAGATCAATCAGACAAGATAAAGAAATAAAGGGCAACCAAATCAGAAGGAAGAAGTCAAGTTGTCCTAGTTTGCAGACAGTATGCTCGTATATTAGGAAAAAACTAAAGACTCCATCAAAAACTATCAGAAGTGATAAACTCAGTAAAGTTGCATGATACAACATCAACATACAAAAATCAGTAGTGTTTCTATATGCCAACAGTCAACAATCTGAAAAAAAATTAAAAAGTAATCCCATAAATAAAAAAGGGCCACAAATAAAATTAAATACCTAGGAGTTAACATAACCAAAGCAGTAAAAGATTTCTACAACAAAAACCATAAAACATCAATGCAAGAAATTGAAGAGGACACAAAAAAATGAAAAGATATTCCATGTTCATGGATTAGAAAAATCAATACTGTTAAAATGTCCATACTACCCAAAGCAATCTACAGACTCAATGCAACCCCTTTCAAAATGCCAATTGCATTTTCACATAAATAGAAAAAACAATCCTAAAATTTATATGAAACCACAAAAGACCCAGAACAGCCAAAGCTATCTAAAGCAAAAGGAGCAAAACTGGAGAAATCACATTACCTGACTTCAAATTATACTATCGAGCTACAGTAACCAAAACATCACAGTACTGGCACAAAAACAGACACACAGACCAGGAGAACAGAATAGAGAAAAATCCAGAAACAAATCCATACACCTACAGTGAACTCATTTTTGACAAGGTTGCCAAGAACACACACTGAATAAAGGATAGTCTCTTCAATAAATAGTGCTGGGAAAACTGAATATCCACATGCAGAAGAGCGAGACTAGACCACTTCCTCTTCCCACATACAAATATCAAATCAAAATGGATTAAAGACTTAAATCTAAGACCTCCAAACTATGAAATTACTAGAAGAAAACACTGGGGAAACTCAGGACATTGGAGTAGACAATGATTTCTTGAATAATATGTCACAGGCACAGGTAACCAAAGCAAAAATGGACAAATGGGATCACATCAAGTTAAAAAGCTTCTGCAGTGAAGGAAACAATCAATAACGTGAAGAGACAACCCACTGAATGGGGGAAAATATTTGCAAACTACCCATCAACAAGGGATTAGAAGGCAGAAAATATACAGAGCTCCAATAACTCTACAGGAAAAAAATCTAATAACCCAATTTAAAAATGGGCAAAAGATCTGAATAGACATTTCTCAAAAAAAAAAAAAAAAAAAACCACACAAATGGCAAATAGGCATAAAAAAAGGTGTTCAACATCATTCATCATCAGAGAAATGCAAATCAAAACTACAGTATCATCTCACCTCTGATAACACCGCTTATATCCAAAAGACAGGAATAACAAATGCTGGTGAGGATGTGGAGAAAGGGAACCCTGGCCCACTGCTGGTGGGAAGGTAAATTAGTACAACCACAAAGGAAACAGTTTGGAGGTTCCTCAAAAAATTAAAGTTATCATATGATCCAGCAATCCCACTGCTTGGTATATGCCCCAAAGAAGGGAAATCAGTATATCCAAGAGATATGCACACTTTCATGTTTGTTGCAGCACTATTCACAACACCCAAGATCTGGAAGCACCAAAGTGTCCACGAACAAATGAACAGATAAATAAAATATGGTACATAGACACAATGGAGTACAATTCAGCCATCAAAGATAACAAGGCCCTGTCACTTACAACAACATGGATGTAACTGGAGGTCATCGAGTGAAATAAGCCAGGCACAGAAAGACAAACTTCACATGTTCTCACTTATTTGAGGGAACTCAAAATCAAAACAACTTAACATATGGAGATAGTTAAGCATGGTTACCAGAGGTTGGGAAGGATGGTGGGAGATGCAGGGGAGGGAGATAAGGATGGTTAATGGGTATAAAAAGTACAGTTAGAAAGAATGAATAGTATCTAGTATTTGATAGCACACAGGTTTATTATAGTCAAAATAATTGTAAATTTAAAAACACTAAAAGGGTATAATTGGATTGTAACACAAAGGATAAACACTAGAGGGGATGGATACCCCATTTTCCATAATGTGATTATTACACAATGCATGCCTGTATCAAAATATCTCATTTACCCCATAAATATACACACTCACTATGTAACTACAAACAGTAAAATTTTAAAGAGAGAGAGTAAACAGAAATTAAATAAGAGAACCCTTATATTGTTTGCTTCTGCAGGGGTGGGAATCCACTCCCCAACCCCTTTCCTAGCTTGTCTCAGTTTTCTATTATGTGTTTTATTTGCAGTGGGAAATTCTTTTTAGGGAGCTCTCTAAGCAAAAATGTAATGAACCTGTCATTCTACTATAATGTGGGGTCCTTTTGTCCAAGTATTTTCCTGCTCTTCAGACACTGGCAAAAACTAAAAGATGAAATAAAAATATCTTTAGTAAAGCATTTAATTATAAATCTAACTAGCAAATCTGTAACCATTATCAAAATATGTTACTTGAAATGTTATGTATGATACATTTCTTATTCCTAAACTGACAAATAATCATTGATTTGCATAAGGCATTAAGATAAAATATTGCCTAGGTTTCCTTCCCTGGTTCCATCAACTCCATTTTTGGGGATAGTGAGGACAGAAAGTAAGAACTAAAATTAAGTAAGAACTGGTAAAAGCTTGAAAGTAGACTCTTTATTCCTCTAAGGAGAGTTACTCTATCCTATCAATTAATAATGATAATTTACAATGAGAATTTAGATGACTGGTGCATCTAAACGGAAAATACTTTTTCAGTGGCTTTCAGAAAATGTGTGCTTACTAAAAACTTATGCATATACACATACCTATAACTATACCTATGCATATATACTCATGTACAGTTTGTAATAATTCTTTGAACTGAACACTCATGCCTTGGCTAATTGTGTGTGTGTGTGTGTGTGTGTGTGT